GCTCTCCAAACCTTCCTTCGTATACCTTTCTAAAATTTGCCGCAATCATACCACATTTTATTTAGCTTTATTGTAAATCTTTCAGCGGGTCAAACTTTTCTCGGATGTTGCGTTTCTTTCAACTTTGTGGCCAAATCCAGAACTCAAGAGAACTTTCAAGAGTCGGCCAAAGTCTAGTAGGATTATAACAGAGATGGACATTAGAGAACAACATAATCATGTAAAAATTTGTTCTTATTGTCATACTTCTGGTCATACTAACAAGACATATCTAAATATTGGTCATGAATTTAGTTTCTGCCACCATTGATCTTTATTGTTGTAATGAATTTTAATAAATTTATTTAGTTATATTTATAATGTTAATATTCAATAAATTTAATCACTTGATGGTACTCTTTGAATTTTAGTATTTGATAAGTGAAAATCAAATTAATTTTTTTTATTTAAAGGCCAGAACGACCCGTTCTAGATGCAGAACGGCCCGTTCTGGTTCCACTTTTTATCTCTAATTTTAATTTTGGAACAGCCCGTTCTGATCCGTTTTCCATGCGTTATTTTTTAATTCGGAACGGTCCGTTCTGATTTCAGAACGACTTGTTCTAAACGTGAACAGTAAATGATACTAGTTGAGAAAATAAATTTACATAGTTGTTATTTGGGTAAATTTTTTTAAAATAGTATTATTTGTGTAAAAAATTCTATTTGTTTCACTATTTTTTTATATTCCAAACATAGTTATACTATTTTTTTTTCTCACTATAATTAGATACATATACCATTAAACATCTTAATTAGTTTTAGTTGGATAGAACTGAACCTAAATAATTTTGGTAATGAAAATAAAATAACCTTTTATGAGAAAATAATTGAGTAGAAGGACAATATATACATCTAATTAACACTTTTTATTTTTATTTTTATATTTCTTCTTACCATATCATTTATAATATTTATACTTTTCACTCTTTTATTACTACTTTTCTTTATATATCATTTTCTTACATAATGGGATAATAGTATAATTATTTATATTAAGAAGTTTTAAATTTGGTTAGGGACAATTTTGTTCAATGTAGATCCACTAATGTTTCCTTTCAAATTTTAATATAACTACATGTCATAAATTTAAAATTCTAATTAAATTATATTTTTTTTCTAATTTTATTTTTATTGTTTATATTGGGGAGGACCAAAACTCAAATAAAATAGTTACATTAGATTACTACAAATGAAAATAAAACTCGTTATATTTCTTATCAATAAACATAACTAACCAACAAATTATGAGAGTCAATATATTTTTTTTATCATATTAATCATGCATTTTTATATCATTAAGAGTAAAAAAAAAAAGAGATATCTAAAATAATAGGCATATAAAAAATTAAATATTAAATAAATAAATATTTAATTGTTAAAGAATAAAAAAATTATTATCTTGTATTAGTATAAAATTATAAAATTATATTAAATAGTTAATAATTAAAAATAAAAAATGAAAAATATGATTATTCTTTTTTTATCATAATTTAATGACCTGAATCAAATTAAGTCAATATTAATAAAATTATTTTAGATTAATAATTTCATTTTTAAAATCTAAAAAAAGATTATTCAAGATTTAATTTAATTATGAATATGAATCGATTAAAGTCATGATGAATACGTCTAATTTTGTCTAACCAAACATATCGTGTATTAATTCTGATCGCCAGCACGCCATTGATGACAATGTCATTGGAGATGTGATTCTTTTGTATTCGTAGCTTCGTTGTTAAGGTGTGTCTTGCAAGTTGCAATTCTCTGAATCAGATTAAATTATGCACTGATGATATGGTTGAAAAAAGGACAACAATGAAGAAATAGAGGACACTGAGAGGGACATGAGTTGAAATTTTTCACTGATTGGGACAGGATAAGAACCAAACTATACTATAAATTACTATCTGTTATAGTGGATACAAATCAAAAGCCCCTTTACCATCAAATAAAATAAAAATCTTAATAGTTAATACAGTGTATTTTTATACACTAAATCAATCATATATTAATGTTGATGTGAGTTTTTATTTGTTTATTGTAAAAGTTAATAATAAGTTATCATAAATTAGGATCTGTGTTTAAATGATTATGTAAAATTATTTTACATGATAATGTATTGCCATTTTTTCATTTAAAACAAATTTTGAGAGGTGATTATGCCATTCTAACTTAACAAATACTTTGATTCTATCTCAAACATTTTAATTCTCAAGAAGTAATAATATTTGAATACTTAAATATTTTAAATATTTTGACACACATCAAATTTTTTTCTTCTTCTATAAACATGGTTCATGGAATTTATTAGAAATACTAAATTGATTTTATATCTTAAAATAAATTTTATTATTATTAAATTATATTTTATATTTTATTTTTTAATCTTTTTTTTTATTGCAACATTTATTTATTATATTTATCATTTTTTCATCTTTTTAAGTGCATTTCAATGTTAAACTGGACATGACTAAAAGCTGAGAAGAAATATCTACTATTTTGTTTTCATTTAACAGAAGACATTTTTTGATAATAATAATTAAATAATAATCATGAACAAAAGCTTAAAAAAATTATTTTCTGATTAATGTTACATAACATGTAGTGTTTGTTGCCTGTCAATGCAGACTTTACGATAAATATATAAAATTTTGTTTTGTTAAAAATCAATTTAAGTACATAGAAAATATGATAGTAAAAGGAAATAATAAATAAATAAATAGAATTTTACAATTACGCAACTGTTTAAAATTAAGATTCAGAGATAATGAAAAGGAAAAACAAGACAAAACAATATTCAACACGTAATTTTTTAAGCCAAACAATTTTTTTAAAAGAGTTGTTCAAAGTCTTGATTATGAGTTGAATCATATATATAAAATTGAATAACAAACATATCTATCCCTTCTCATTTTAGTTTGAACCACAATTTTTAAAAGGATAAAGAAAACTCTTTCATCATTTCTTTAATTCATCGAGTCTAAATCTTTATTTTAGTAAAATCAAATTTGCTTACTACTTAACCCTCTTGTATAATTTTCTAAAGAAAAATACCCAGTACAAATTTAGTATGCAGAAATGAACACTATTTATTTATAATTGTTTTATTTGAGTGAATAATAGTTTTATATAGGATATTAAAGTCGGTCTGACAAACTAAATTATTACCTTCTCAATTAGCCAAATTTGATAGAATTAGAATAAAAAATGTTATTGGACAAAATTACCTGATATTTTCTTAATTGATTGTATTTTCAAATTAAATGAATTAATAATAGATTATAAAAGGTACAGCTGATTTGAGTTATTTATTTTTCTTTTATTATCATACTTTCAACGGATTCAAAATTTATATTTTAACCAAATAAAAATATTGTATTTATCGTAAGGTCTTACATTAATGGATGGCATGTAGTTTAAATAGGCGAATATATTTAATTTTAATAAACTTAATAAATATATTTTTAATATATATAATTTTTTTAATTTAAGTGATAAAAATAGTTTAGAGTTTATAATAAAAATAAAAATAAAAAAATATAAGAGAGACAAATACATCATCGTACACTAACGTACATTTATAAAAAAAAACCTTATTTAAAATAAAACTTTATATATTCTCTATATCCTATTAAAAATATTCTACACAATTAATTATGAAGATGAAAGAAAAAAATAAGATGCGACTATTAAATTTTTTATTTATTAATTTTATACAAATAAATAATATTATTAAGTATAGTACAAATATAAAATAAATTAATAATTTAATTTTTTAATTAAAAAATTATTTATTTTATTATATTATTAATAATATAATAAAATAAATAATTTTTTAATTAAAAAATTATTTATTTTATTATATTATTAATAATATAATAAAATAAATAATTTTTTAATTAAAAAATTATTTATTTTATTATATTATTAATAATATAATAAAATAAATAATTTTTTAATTAAAAAATTATTTATTTTATTATATTATTAATAATATAATAAAATAAATAATTTTTTAATTAAAAAATTATTTATTTTATTATATTATTAATAATATAATAAAATAAATAATTTTTTAATTAAAAAATTATTTATTTTATTATATTATTAATAATATAATAAAATAAATAATTTTTTAATTAAAAAATTATTTATTTTATTATATTATTAATAATATAATATGTATATTTTTTTATTATATTATATAGATAAATATATTAGTTTATAAAATTAACAATTTTTTTTTACATAAATTTAACCTTAATTTTTTTTAAATAAATAAAAAATTTAAAATAATCTTTTTATTAAATAAGTTAAATTAAGTCAAATTTTTAAACAAATTAGTTTATAAATTTCTCTTTAACACCGTAGTATTTGCTGTTGGTTCCTCATTTTCAAATAATTTAATAAATAAATCAGTTCATTTACTTAAAAGGTTCACGTGAAAGTAACTCTTCATCAATTCTCTCCTTTATATTTTTAATAATTTTTCACCTTTTATTTTTAATAAATATATTTAAGACACTAGATAAGATTTGTCAACACAAAACATGGACTAAAAATAAATAAGATATACAATAGTGTGAAATCAATGTGCTGGATTTTCGCACTCTTAATGGAAAGAAAGCTGACCTTTCAGCAAAGAAGGAGAAATAAAAGGAAAAAGAAAAGTCTTATTTATTATTTTATTTTTTAAAAAGTTAATTTGTGAAAATGCTGCATCAATCTCACACGTTGATTCTTTGTTTTCTTTACTGAACAACCGATCTGAACCGTTGTTTTCTCTTCTCATTCTCAGATTCTCTCTAAACCCAATCCCAACCCTTAATCAACGGTCATTAGTGCAAAATTTCTGCGAGATTCCGACACGCAAAGTGCGACATCGTTTGGAGATTTTCAGGATTTAAGAATCATGCTTGTGATTAAAGACAGAAACATTCGCTGATAAAAAGGAAAATAAATAAAAAAAACAACGATGCGGAAATACGATTAACGCAACCTAAGAAAGTGTTCGACCTTTAACGGTGTGGCAAACCGTATATAAACGCGTGAATTGAAGTGCGTTTTTGTTTTTATTTAATTTCTATTTTTTCTCACTTCGTATCATAAATATTCATTCAATTCAATGCATCCATAGTCGTCATCTATTGCGATTGTACCTTCCCAATGTGAATAGTGATTTCTTCTCAACAACCCTTTTTATTATTCTTCTTTGCGAAGCTCTTAATTCAGTGGACGTTGAATCGAAGGTGGAAAACTTCTTAGCTCTCTTATTTTTTTCTTGTTAATTTGCTTCTACCGATCAATTTCTGACTATTTTATTTTTCCTTTTCTGTTTCAAATTCTAGTGTTTCTTTCTCTGCATGTTGTTCTTGGTGTGAAAAATATTTGGGTTTTAGATTGGTGTAAGCGGTAATCTCGAGGTAATAGTTGTTGTTTGATCTCAAAATAATGAATGAAGATGATGATAAATGGTTTCTACTTTCGTGTTGTGATTTTTTCTGACGCATAAGATCCTCGGAGGAGGCGCATTTTAATTCGCTATCCTGAAAAGGAGAGCAAAGTGGACGTTTCCTTTGGATTTGATGATATAATAATATTGGGTGGTGATGAAAGTTGAAAGCTGAAAGCGATTATCAAATAGTACTTTTTTGAATTCCAATTAGTTTAATACCTGGCATTCACTTGGATTTTTTTATAAGGGGGAATATTGTATAGTGTATACCTACTTGGTTATTGCATTGTTTAGCTTAACTTTTCTTCACTACGTGTAGGAAAGGTAGTCTCTTCTGCCTCTCATGCTAGAACATTTAGACAGTGTTTATGAATGTTGGGGGAAATTCTCAATCGGTTCAATTCAATACGGATTAACATTTTGTATTTTAATTTTCAAGCATGAAAAATCTGGAAAGAAAAAGTCTATATTATCATGTATGGTGTATGATTTACATGCTCAATTTGCATGTCCACGTTCAATTTAGGTCCTTAATGTTATAGTTTGAAAAACTGTACCTACTCTGATAACTGTATTTCATATCATGATTTCTTCCTAATTAGTTGCATGTCATTGCCTTTGTTGCATCTTATGCTCCAATCTCTTAATCTAAAGCTTATTTGTACAGGTGGACTCTTTCTGGTTTGGAGTCATTTCAACTTTTGAAGAAGGTTTTTGGTTCCTTGTCATGATTAATTTTTAGAGATGGTTTTATATGAGCATTCAGATGTATTTCAGTGGGGTCTTAATCTTCTTGAGGGTGACCCTGCTTATAATCCTGGATATTATGGTAACATAATTCAGCATGATACTGGTGACATCTATAATGGAGACTACTTCCATAACCATTATGATAATGAATGTAACCAAATAGAGAATGATGAGATCATTGCCCGTACACTTCAAGAGGAGTTTTCACAGCTGGACATTGCTGAACCTACAGGATACTTACAGGCAGGTGAAGAACAGTTCCATGTTTCTGAGACCGAGCATACATATGATAATGGTTGGCAAAACTCTTCAATGATGCACTATTGTTCAGGAGGTATCATTAGAGATGTAAATTGATTTTTCTTGGTTATATTTGAGATTTATTTTATTACTGGATATTGGTTTATTCAATTAAATAGTTAACACATGCAGGTCACGATTATGTCCAAGAAGGAACTGGTGATGAAGAACCCTCTAGTTCATGTTCTAGTCCTGGTGAAACGGAGGAATATTCATTAGAGATTACTGACAATTATCCACTTGATGATGAAGTTGGGAGGAAATTGAGTCAAATGATACCAATTCCTGTATGTTAAGCCTCATCTGCTTCTATAGATTCCTTTTTGGATCATCTATTGAAGCAATATATAGCTATACTTATGACCTTTTAATGCTAATTTAGGTACTAAGCAGTTAATTCACCATGTTACATTTCTATCAACTTCTAGTGATTATTTTTTTTTTCTAGACTATATTTTCATTTTATTAAATTAATTTCCATTTGGAATATTTTTTTTTATAATTTTAAATTATTGGTTGCTGAAAATCTAAACCGTTTAGTCCTATATTTTGTTATTTTTGATTCTTACCGATGAATGAAGCAACTTCTGGTTTAAGTCATCTACTATACAGTGCTCATTTTTTTGGGGGCAGTAGAACAAAATAGATACTGAATTTCTCTAGATTTCTAACATTGAGGTTTCACAAGCACCCAATTTTAAAAGTTTTATCTGTTATTTTTTTTAAGTCATGGATTTTATCCCTTTATTGTCAACCCACAGCCTTTCACATATAGTATGATTTTTAGAAAATTCATTTCTTTTAATCAGTTGTATTGTTGTATGACTTGTGTATTTGAACACGTGCTTAAAATGCCTCCCTTTTCTTGTTTAGCATGTTCCAAAAATTAATGGTGAAATTCCTTCAATTGATGAAGCAACTTCAGATCATCAAAGGCTGCTGGATAGGTATTAGTCACGGATGATTTTTTCTTCTTATTAACTTAATATAATTGCTACAATGTGTATCATTTTCTTTTGTTTCTTCCTACCATTGAAGCTTAAGCTATTGTCACAAATTGTCTTCATTTTGAATTGTTTTGTTGTTTTTGAATTGTTTTGTTGTTTTTGAATTTGTAAATGAATTACCAGTTGAAAAATTATTTGTTGTGTACATTTTTTTTATCGTATAATTGACATGTCAAACTAAACTATGCAATTTTTCAAACAGATTGCAGTTATATGACTTTGTGGAGCACAGAGTACAAGGTGATGGTAATTGTCAGGTCTGTTGCATTTAATGTTCATTCATTTCCAATTTTCTGAAAATCCATGGGCCAGAATATATTTCATTTGTTTTAGAATGTAATTATTGAGAAATATCAATTATTATTATCTGATTTGAACAATGTTTTGAATACAAGTTTTCGAGTCTTAGCAGTCCTGCCATTGTTTCCTAGTTTTCCTCCAATTTATTTGCTTAATATCAGGTTTTCTCCTATTGTTCATCATCTCCATTTTCTATTTTCACCCTATTAATTCACAAACACAGCCTCAGATTTTGAAAATCCTAATACACTTTTGCCCTCTACACTTGGTGAGCTATTATGCAACTGCTTGCTCAACCTAACCTAGAAACTTTCCTAATCACATAATAATAATTTATATTTTTCAACAATAATTATATTTAGAGCAGTTTTCATATAATAATTCTTTTATGTTCATTCCTCCTTAGTTCCGGGCACTATCTGATCAATTGTATAACGCACCTGATCAACACAAGTTTGTGAGACGACAAGTTGTCAATCAGGTTTGTTGCTCAGTGTATTATATTTTTATGCTTGTTTGGCTTATAATATCTACTCTGATTTTGTGCTTTTGTTCTCGAATTCTTATTGTTGAATTGTTTTTTTAACCAGCTCAAATCTAATCCAGAGATTTATGATGCATATGTTCCGATGGAATATGATGACTATTTGAACAAGATGTCCAAGTAATAATCTCTTTCTCTTTGTGTGTGTATAAATGTGCATGCGTGCAAGTGCAATTTCTTTTTGGTTAACTGACAGCTCCTTTACTTTCATCATATATGGAACTAGGAGTGGAGAATGGGGTGATCATGTCACTCTCCAAGCTGCTGCAGATTCGGTATGGTTGATGAAACTTAATTACTCTTCCATATATTTTTTTTTTGTAGCACTTGTCTGTTTTTATTTTGAATAAGACTTGTCCGGTTATGATTTAATTAGGCGAAGACAAAATGTTTTGTCTAATATCAGAAATAATTAACTGGTTAGTTTCCCAAGCTGTTGCTTAGAAGTTTCAAGTTTGGTTGTTGGTTTCATGCTTAAGTCATCATATTTAATTTTTCTGAAAAGAAGATGATTGAAATTGACTATGGACAACCTTAATGTTGTATCTGCTTATAAAATTGATCGATCATGTGTTGGATGTTGTAGTATTTTCAACTGTGATATCCTTCATATTACAAGGATGTTAATAGAGTCTATGATCTATCAATGAAGGTTGGTAAAATCTATAAAATAATTAATTAATTAATCTTAAGAGTGGGTATATCAATTTTTAACTCTCCGAGATAAATTTTCAATGATTGTACCCTGTCTGTTTCTGGGGAAAATATCATTGTAAAGTTTAGAATAGTATTTGGAATTAGCTATATAATGATATGCTTTTATATATGTACTAATATCTTTAGTTTTCTTTTTTTCTTTTTCCTCCAGTATGGTGTGAGAATATTTGTGATGACTTCTTTCAAGGACACCTGTTGCATAGAGATACTTCCTCATTTTGAGAAGCCAAAAGGAGGTTGGTTATCTTTGTCATGAATCTGGGGAGAGGATTCATCTTATCACTAAGCCCTGGCCTATTCTTTTACACGAGCTAAGGCCAAGTGAAGGCTGTTTTTCCCCTCTAAATGCTCATTTTCAATTTTCTTGCTATCTTTAATCTTTTCTTTTTCTTACTAGAATTCGTTGATGTCACAGTATTTCTTGAATATTTTTATACCTTGACCATAATTTAAGTTTTGATTTTTTCCCCTTTCAAAGCAATGGTGTCATGCTTATAACAAGATGCAATAATTCTGTTTGTTTCTGTTGTGGCAGAAATCTTAAAGATAATTGTTCAAACAATTATTTTCCACGCTTATGATCTGTGATCATCATTTTGTGGTGGAAATCTTAAAAGATAATTGCTCAAATATATATATTATATATATACTTTACATATGAACAGTGATCATCATTTTTTGTTGTATAAATAATTGTACTTGTATGAATGTTCGATCATTGATAGCTTTGCATTTTTCTTTGGATTTTAATTATTTTAAGGTAATTGTTTTAGTTTCATCTTATAAACAACTCGGCTAATATGTCTGTTTTGTTGCAGTGATTTTCTTGAGTTTTTGGGCAGAGGTGCATTACAACTCCATTTATCCCCAAGGAGGTATTTTTCATATTTTACATTTCAGAAACAAGTTCGCAAATGACTTCAATCACTAGATTAGTGTTTGTTATAATATATACTTGGTAGATTTGTTATACTAGATACCAAGATCTTAATAAAATTTAAGGTTGGATACTTCTCCACTAGTATATATTATCGATAAGATCACTTTATTAGAGCCTTTTCCTTTCTTAGGAGGCAGGAAAAATAGCTTATTATGAAAAAAGATGCTCTAAAAAGAATCATCATTAAGGTGTTCCCTTTTTTTTTTTTTTTTTTTTTTTGTATAGATATTTTGGATGTCTGTTTATTTTTTTTAAGATATTGGTAATTGGCTAATGATGTGTTATATTTGCCTACTGATCCAGATATAGCTTCGAGTGAGTCTAGAAAGAAGAAAAGGTGGTGGAGCTTTGGCAGCAAGCATTAGAGTCTTAGCTGGCCTAGTGGGCACACACCCATTTTGAACCTCTACAATTTTCCTTCTTCAGGATTCAGGAATTAATGAATTTATATTATATCCCCATATTTTAGCTGGTCATTTTTTTTATAGTTAATTTCATTCACCCCTTTTTATTAATTACAGTCATAAATCTGGGTCTCCCACACACACTTGCATCCCAGTGACATTTCGGATGCCTTGTGGAACAAACCAAATTTTATTTTATACACAATAAAGGATTAAACATTAAAGTAGGTAAGATGCATGGTTGCTTTACATTATTGTGTTTCCATCTTGATTAGTACTTTAGTCTGGACACGTTCGGTTTTTGGAAGGCGCAACAAATTAATAATGTGTTGTTGAAAAGTCATCGATTTAACTTTTTAAGTAGTAGTAGTTATTAGTCAAACTTTTTTAATGTAATAACACATCATTATGCGGAAGGGTAAAACATCGATTCACAATTAAATTCTATTGCTATTATGTATCGTTTTCTTTTTTGTTATAATGGAACCTTTAAGATAATCATTCGTCATTCAAATAGTAATGTCAATTTTTTAATGCTACCACTAATTTTGTGATTTAGGGTTTGATCAAGATTTACTAAGTAGATGTGTCCTCACATCTTTAATAGGACTCACATCTTATTCGATTATCTGCGTTATCAACTTTTCACCTTCTCTTCTATAAAACAGTTAATTATGTGTTTTAATCATCAAATAATAACGTGTTGTAGCACTTTTTACTTTCTTTAGAATTAATAGCCCTAAAATGAAGTAACCTTAAAAAACTCGTTCGAGCACAAAATTAGTTTTTATTTTAATTTTACAGTAAAAGAACATTTCATTACAAAGATCAATTCATAATTCATTACATTGCAAATGGACTCTTGAATACAAGCAGGCATATAATCAAAGTAAGGGGCTAGCATACAAACTTGTTGATTGATACTTCTTATCTAACAAAAATAAAAGTTTACTATAAACATTGAGAGTTTATATTAATAAGTTGTTACATACTAATTAGCAATTTAATATATATAATTATTGTAAAACTTGTCCTGGAATATGGTCAACCTGATATTTTCGTTTGATTCTTGTTTGTATTAAAATAATGTTTGATCAACAAAAGTCAAGTTTTACAAGTACAAATTAGTTATTGATTGTTAACTTTAAAATATTGTGTAAACTATATTCATAAATCATATATATATATATATATAATCTTTACATCAATTATTTATACAACACATTACATTATTAAAATATTATCACAATTAACACATTTTTTTTATATAAAATTTCATGGTTCAATTTGCTTTAATGGTTAATTGGGTAGGCACACACGTCATGTTTGTCAAACATAATTAAAATCTACAACCTTAATTGAACTTACTCAATCATATTTAGATCATTTTAAGTTATATATTGTCAGAATATCTACTTTAAAGAAAGAAAAAAAAAATTTCAAAAGTTAGAATTATAAAATTGTACAACATAAAAAATTATAGAATTATATGATACAACATAAAAAAATTAATAGTTTTCAAATGACATAGATTCATGTTGATTTAGATTGTACAAGTTTAAATCCAATATTGAGGATATTATTGAATCGAGATGAACCCCATCTGTTAATAAGTAAATTGTAAAGTAAACCCTTCAGTTCTTACTGAATATTCGGTCTAAATTTTACCGTTTTACTGGTTTGGCCCTTTAAATTATATAAATAATTTATTTTTTTAAGGAAGATGTATAAATGAATCTTTGTAAAATGAAATAATCCAGGGCTGAAAAATGAAAATGAAAATGAAAACATGCTTGGGTGATTCAATTCAAGGGTTAACGGAATGAGGTTTGTTGGGCCGGATCAAATCGGGCCTGAGTGAAACGGGTATCATTTTTTTTTAATTTAAAAATAAAAAAGGCTTTGTTCGCCTCTCACTCACTTTTACTCTCTGATATTTTATTATGTCAACATTATCTTTTGCAAATGCCTTGAACACGTAGAGAAGAGAAGATACTAAGACCATGTTTTGTTCCTCTTCTCCGCCTTCAGGTAAACCTTATTACAACCACTTCATATTTTTATTTTCAATTTTTTACTTATCTTAGATATTCAATTGACAAGTGCCTGTGTTTTCAATTTCATTTCCCTCATTTTAAAAAATTATATGGTTTATTGATAGCATAGCTGTTAAGATAGTTCAAATTAAGGGTTTTAGAGGTACTGTGCATGCTAAGATAATTTTGTGGAATTTCATTGAGTTGAAAACCGTGTATGCAGTTATGATGCTTCATGAACAAGCTGCTCCAGCAGTTGCTGCCTCCTGGTCTTCTAGTTCTGCAGCTCAGCATTTTCCTGCCTCTGTTCTTTTACAAGAGCAGCGTGATGAGTATAAGCCCCTACTTCACGTCTATAATAAGGAGGTTCAAATCTTACCAAATTCTTCATTATGGGCCTTCTTTAATAAGATTCTTTTATCAAGTACCGACACTTTGATTTGCTTCATCTATCTATACCGATATTCTTGGATTCGAGCCTTTAAAAGATGTTATGGAAATCTAGTATAGCTACATATGTGACATAGAAGCATGTGTAATATAGAAACATAAAAGCATTGTTACTTGATGAACCAAAAATGAAAATTGTCGTATTTATGTATGGTCTCAAGAAAGTAATGAGATTGATATAATTTCTATTTGTAGACAATAGGAAGTGATTTATGATGACAATGATTTATAATTATTATTTTGTTTTAGTAATGTCCAAAAGTATGTTTTTAATTTGGATCTGCAGAATTGCAATTCTATATTAATTGTGTTTTATGAATTTTTATACATGTACCGTATCTTATATAGTTTTAGAATAATTTTATTACCATAAGAGATACGTATCATATCTGTGCATCATAGTGTTTATGTGTTTGCTTGGAGTGCCTTTTAGTTTTATCGGGTGTAATGATCCCATTTTTTGTGCATGTTATCGATTAATTAATTTCCCCTTTGTTTTTTAAAGGCAACATTAAATACTAGGCAGATGGATATGACCTCAGTTCATGAGAAAAGCAACACTGACAATGCTGATCAGTTAGTACATGACTTCGTTCAGCAGTTACATCTCCGGTCTCATTTACAGAACTTGTAAGATAAACCGAATTGCAGTCTTGTGTTAATTTCGTATTTAGTAATTGCTAGCATATCCAAGCTTGTGACCTTATAAGGTATATGTGCGGTGGTCTATTTCAGATTGACTTGTTCTCCGACAAGGGGAATTGCTCCTTCTTCGATTCTGCAACCTGTTGATATTGATTCAGAGAGGCCTGTAGATGTTCTGCCAGGGGATGCGGTTTCTCTTGCTCAGCAAGCTTTGTCAGCATCAAAGCAAGCAGCTTCAATAACTGAAGAGATGACATCAGTTGAAGCTGATAATGATGACTCACTTCCATTTGGGTTAGTTATATCTTTTGGTTGACTCTGACACCCTCAAATTGTTTATTCTGTTTATAGGATAATTTAATTTTGAGAATAATGCCTAATATATGCCCTTCAGTCGGGCCTCCACAAGTTTGGCTGACACTTCACTCAAAGAGAATAAAATTGTAAGGTCAACACGGATTATAGAAAGACGGTCTAAACAGAGAAAAGTATCAAAGTCAAAAGATTTTGACGAAGAGAGTTACCTTGCAAGAAAGTCTGATGTACAAAGAAGGTTACATTTAGAAAAGAAGTTAAAAGAAGCGTTTGATCAAAATGACCCCCTGCGCTTGTTCCTGTCGGGTCCTGAATCAAGGCAACTTTTGACCCGTGAAGAAGAGTCTCAATTGATTACTCAGCTACAGGTGTCACTTGGAATTCCATATTTCTTTAAATGCATGGTATGCTCTATTAAGGATAGTTTGCCATAATGCGGAATATGCAACAGGATTTATCAAGATTGGAAGAAGTAAAAGTCAAGCTTCAATCTCAGTTAAGGCGGGAACCAACATTGGCGGAATGGGCTGATGTCGTGGGCCTCAGTTGTTGTGCCCTGCAGACACAGCTTCATTCTGGTAAAAGAAGCAAAGAAAAGCTGTTTCATGCCAATTTACGCATGGTAGTTCACATTGCTAAACATTATCAGGGACGTGGTCTCAACCTTCAGGACTTATTACAGGTAGCCTCCGAGAAATCAAAATTCACCATTCCTCACTACCAAAGCCTATTTGTATTTCCTGGCTCTTGCATAGTTATAATCAAATTCTTAACGCTTAGTTTGTCATGTATGTGTTAACATTATTTTGAACAAAGAATACCATAAAATAAATATTTGGCTGAAGGATCTCTATTATCTCCTTTTGAGGATTGTTGCAATCATTACCTTAATTAATCATTAGTAGCTACGTCTTTACATTTTTTTTTTCTGGTGATATTATAGGAGGGAAGTACAGGTCTTATGATGAGCATCGATAGGTTTAAACCTGAAGCTGGTTGCCGTTTTGGTACTTATGCATACTGGTGGATAAGGCATTCCATAAGGAAGTCTATATTTCAACATTCCAGGACAATCCGTTTGCCGGTAAAATCCATTTGCATAATTTTTTTATTATCTAGTTAGTCAAATTTAACCATCTTCCTTCTGAACTGTCAATATTCATGATTTTTTTGCATGTTTACAAAGAACAACATAATGTTACTTTTGCATTAATTTTATTTTAATAGTATTAGTATGTTACCTATATAACAAACATCAATTAACATGTAATGATCGTATTTTCTTCAGGAGAATTTATATAGCCTTTTGGGGAAGGTAATAGAAGCGAAGAAATCATACATTCAGGAAGGAAATCTTCGACCCAGCAAAGAAGAATTAGCACAAAGGGTAGGAATTACAGTAGAAAAGTTGGAAAATTTGCTATTTGCTTCAAGAACTCCAATTTCGATGCAGCAAACTGTGTGGGCAGACCAAGATACAACGTTCCAGGTAGGGCCTTGAAGTAATTTGTTTTTTTTTTCTCCTGCTGTGATATGATTTATTAGATCTATAATTTGAAAGCAAGGAAAAGGAAAGCTCTGCATTGATATAATGATTATTTAGAATAGCTAATGCTTATTAAGCTTCCCATTTTAAATTGGCAAGTTCCCATATTAAGCCTTTTGCTTGTGCTGATAATTGTATAAACAAATTGATAGAAATCAAATTGCAAAGAAAACCAAAATGATAATGTAATTGAGGAATCATCTCAAATTTCCGTAGTTATTGCATTCTGTTGTCGCATGATGACAATGAATCAGCAGCAGCAGCTAAAAGGTTTTTATTGCTGTGGAGATAGTAGATCTCATTCCACTAATAATGTAATTGACTGCATGAATCATCTCTTACATATGTTTCTCACGTAATGTCATGCATGTGCATTATATACTCTTAATAGTAGAATTTGGAATTGGAAACCAATAAATCATGGATTGTGAACTATGAAATTTTTTTTGGTTTGAGGTTGATCCTCAGACCGAACTAGTCATTCTAGACTAAACCATGATCATCCCTAGCTAAACATGTCAGAATTAGTGATTGGACTCAAGTCAGTAAACTCTATTTGGTTCCATATTGAAGTTGGATTATTTAAATCTCCACCATATACCAGCTTTTTTTTTTATTGAAGTGGTTATTCATTTTGGCCTTGGTTGGGAATATTACAAAATCTTATCCATGTTTTCTTATATTTGTTTTGAACTTGTGTGCTAGTATCCTTGCAATGTGCTTTCCATATCGAGTTAAGTTAGTGTCATTCTGCTTTGCTGTAAATTGCTGTTAAGCTAGTCTCCTAATGTTGAAGGCTGTTGGGTATGATCAGAATACACCCTCCGCCTTTGTTGAGCAACATAATTGTTCAAATATTCCAAATTGATTTTGTTACAACTGCAGGAGATTACTGCAGACTCAACAATGGAGATCCCAGATGTGATTGTTTCAAAACAACTAATGAGGAGGCATGTGCACAGCCTCCTAAATATCTTAAGCCCAAAAGAGAAGACCATAATCAGGCTAAGATTTGGTATTGAGGATGGCAAGGAGAAAACGTTGTCAGATATTGGCAAGGTTTTTGGTTTGACCAAGGAGAGGGTCCGACAGTTGGAGAGACGAGCATTATCCAAGCTCAAGCAGTGTCTTGTAAGTCAAGGACTTGAAGCATATATAGACTTGCTTGCATAGATAAGACGAGTAGAGCACAAGATTATGCAGTTCATCTTACTTGGCTGTGACATTTTTCCTTGCCAAGTGCAAAGCCAATAATTTGATCAATCTTTTGAAGAGAAAACAGACCCTCAGCCATACTAATAGAGGATGAACGGGGGTTGCAATTAGGAGTTAAGGAAAATTCAAGAACTTAAAAAGCTTGTGCAGTTTGTAAAAATTGAGAAGTCAAAATTAACGCCAATCAAACCATGTTTTGATTTAAATTGCTGTAACATATATTGGTGCCATGTCATTTTTTATTATTATTAATTTGCTTATAAACGAGAGATATACATATATCGCAGTCAAACAGCTAAGCTGCATCTTTCTTACATAAGAGGGGGAGCTCATACTAACCAATATAAATTAACATTAAACAAAAAGAAAATGTATAAATTGTAGCATATGGAACATTTTAACATAAATTATGAAGAAGAAAAAAAGTAAATGGGCAACTTAGACAATAAAAATACCTAAATCCTTAACTTTATTTATGCATACCAATTAGTCATTAAAGTAATACTTTATCTTTGTCAACTGGAGCAACTAAAAGAAATAACTTGATACAAATTTTATAACTAAAAGTTTGGTACATGAATACTTATTAAAAAAAGAATTTGTTCGTAAGAATTATAATAGCAATAATAAAGTTTAAATTTAAAATCATGTGTATATTATTTTAATCTATCTAGTTGAAGAGTTAAGTATGAATGAAAGACATTTTTCAAGGAAAATGTTGATTATTTGCTTAAAAAAATAACTACCGTATAGGCCAAGTCACTTTGGGGATAAGTTGAATTTGCTTTTGGAAATTTATGGGAAGGGGTATGTTGCTATTTGCATCTCTCTTCAATTCGGGTTAACTACACCTCTACAAATAGATATGGTAGGGTATATAAGCTATACGACTAGATTCGTCTACACCTTTAACTAAATAGACATAAAACTTCTTACACGCCACTTCTTGATCACCAAGTGTCAGCTAAAAGCATTGTTCTCGAAAAAACAATTTGCGAGATGCTGAGAAATGATATATGCGTATGCAGCACAACATAGATTAATTATGAAGCCCCTCTTTGATCTATTGTATGTTTGCATTGAATTCACCGACGCAGTTATTCACGTCATATTGGAAGTAACTTGTATAGCAATAGCTTTCACGTCTTTACTGAAACTGACACGAAAATAAGGACATTCAACACGTTATTAGAGTTTGTTAAAATTGATTTTGAGCCATTGAATGTCATTGAGATATATGTACGTGAATTAATCAGAATCACATATTTGCAGAAAGTGTTTTTTATTGAAAATATGGGAATTATTTTTCAATTTGATATAAGATATACCATTTGTAAGTGACACTTAATCGACAAAATGACGCATGTGCAAGGAAATGTACAAGTGGTTTGCAAATAGCACTACTTGATTTACTTTCTTGTATCTTTCACCAGAACTAGGACTTATCTTACATCCTTAAAACGGAAATTTATAAATCTTTTTGAAATTGTGACGGTGTTCATAAAGTTTAATCGAGTTAGATTATTCTAGATTAAGACCTCTCGTAGAAAAGGTACCCTCTAGCCCAAAAGACAGGCTTAACACAAACTAGGTCCCGTGAGGGGGGCCTCTGCTTAATTATGTTAACGTCACGAACTAAACCAAAGCTCCACTTGTGCATCCAACATTATTGTCAAGTTCCACTCTCCCATAATCAAAAATAGTAAATTGGATGCAAAATTCTTAATCCAAGTGTAGCTACAAGCCTGTCCACGTTCACAAATCCCTTCAAATTTTGCTTTATGATATCATTGTAGGGGTACACTGCAGGCACGAAAAGGAACACGGTGACCCAAATGAAGCTATAATTAAGTTCACAAAACATGAAACTTGCATCTTTTTCACTTTATGTTCTCGTGGCCAATGGAAATTAGTAGAAGAAAAAGAAAGGAATCTGGAAGTGCCAAAATGTGAATAGTTGTGCACGCGTTAGACATGATGTAGCAAGTGTGATCAATGACCCGGACATTACATATGTATCCTCCATCAAGGAAATTTCATGTCACAATTTCCACAAACAACATTGAAACAAGGAGAAAAGATCACCTCTATTATGCTTACATCCACAAGATTTTAAGAACAAAAAACAATTCTTAGGGGCCGAATAGGCACTATAGACGGGTAGTTTCTGCTAGCTCTGTCTGTCTTATTGCATATATGAGGCATACACTTAGGCTGGGCCATCAGTTGTATCCTTCATAATAGGCAAATGTGTTAGTACTTAGTACTCAATAAAACACTACCTTTTAATCCGAGAAATCTCACTCACTCGTGAAATAAACGGACATATATTATTGCATCTCAAATTCAACATCACATTCTTGTCCTGCATCTAATATTTAGAAAGAATAAAAATCACCATAATTCAAAACTTCAAATGATGAGAATTAGTTAACTTCTCCTTTTAACTTTACCCCCTCTAAATCCCATGTTTGATGATTGATTTCAGTCGTGTACGAAAATTCTTTGAACTAGCACCAGTCACAGTACTGTATATAGGATTTGTTTTTAACCATGTATGAAAATCTTTTATACGAGCTGTAGTCACAGTATTATGAGAAAAATTAGTTTTTAATTGGTGAGTCGGTGAATATTTGTAATGGGACAAAAAAAACTTTACCCCTCAAGGTCCCTCCCCAAAAAAGTAATAATAAACATTGACATGGGAGGAATTAGTACCTAAGAGGGTAAAATATATAGCAACCTTGGCCCATTCTATTTTCATATGGTTCTGACAACTGGTGGTTTTGTAATAGTAACAGTCCATACTTGATCTAGAAGAATCAGAATTACTAGCTTCTTAAATCCTAATAGATGTCTACTCTGCTATATAAATACCTAGTGGAAGCCGTAGCTACCATGTTTCCACCACTATATTTACTGCTTTATGGTGCCAAATCAGGATCAGTACACAACTTGCCAGAAAATATGTCATTCATGGCAGTGAAGGAAAGCAACACAAGCCAAAAGAATCATCAACAACAAGAAGCTTGTGATCCTTGCAAGTCTTTTGGCCAAAAGTGCAGTCACTTGGTCAAGAAGCAGCGTGCCAAATTCTACATTCTTCGCCGCTGCATCGCCATGCTTTTGTGTTGGCACGAGCGTGCTGAGACATGAGGCCTCACTAGTATCATCCTTTTCTCTATGGTTGTAACATAAAGATAGTACTATGTCACACTGCAAATTCAAAATCGTTGCCATTTTCTAATAGGGTTGCTTGCATTGTGTGTAATTACGTGCAGCTTACATGTGAAAGAGATTAGATCTGTTTCAAGTTTCTCAACTATTGAGTAGATCTTCTTTTTCATATGTCATTAAGAGCTTCTCAAACTTGCATATATGTTATATTTGAGGTTTAATTAGTTCATTGGGGAGCTTAAACTCATGCATCAGCATCTTGTGCTTCAAATCTTGAGAGTAATTTACTTTTTTCTTTCAGTTTGATTTTTTTTTTTAAATGATGATTGTTGAAATGATCTGTGAGATTCGGATTTAATGACTATTTAATGTTGATTGCTTTGTTTGTAGAGAACTACATCTTTATATTTCATCTAACTGAATAAATTACATGTCATTTATGCTCTCAGAGATCTCAGGAGGTGAGTAGTATCTTTGGAATTAATTAGTGTTCCTAACTATTGCATAGTTCTCACGGAAGATAAAGCAGTAATTAATGTGAAACTAACTTGTTATAACTTATATTAATGTTTGTTTAAACTCTAACTTCCAGTGACACTATTGCACATTTCTGCAGAAATATATTTATTGACTATATTAAAAAAAGGAAGAAATTAATTAACCATGTGGATGTGGCTACCCAAATTTTGCTTCACCTGGCCCAGCCAAGCTTTGAAATGATACGAAAAGAAATTGAAATTAAAAAATGTTGATTGGTTGTGTGGTGATACCGGGAGAGCAGGACTCAGCAGAGATTTTCAAAACTCGAGAAGCTCTTAAAATAGTATAGCATATATATCACTTCTATATGCATCAATTATCATGCAACCCACACCTTAAAAACCCAATACCCGATATGATTAGTCAATTTTTCAGACAATGGTCATCGTGCTAAGGAAACATCAGACAAGATCAAGCCTCAATTTAAATTTATTTTTTCTTGGGTCCATCGCCATTCCCCTTTATACCTTTCCACTTTTTTTATAATATTTTGTGCCTTCAAATCCCACACCGTTGGTCTTCTGGTTAAATGTTTCGATCCGAGCAACAAATGAAACTCATCATGCATAATGAATTTTGGGTCATAATGTTGTATTTGCACAACAGTTTGGTCACAAAAGATTTTACATGGGTGAAATTGAGTTAATGGAGAAGTGATTGGTTTGGTTGGAGAATTTGGAGAGAAATAGGAAGGAGTGAGTCAGCATGAAACAAACTTCACGTGTGGTTGCTTTCTCAAATCATTAGCCTAGCAGAAAAGAGAAATTGATAGCGAAACTGTGTTCTTCACTCTCTTGTCCGCTATGAAATTTCAACGAAATTTCCAATCAAATTAACTTTTTCAAGACATGATAGTTGCACAAATATGCACAGTTTTAATGATAACTTTATTTATTTGAAAGAAGGAAAATGAAATTGGAGGTGACGATGATAAAGGAAAAGTGAGGAAGTACCCTTGAGACGCGGCAAGTATCTAGCTAGGTAGGTTTATGGCTAAGCTCCTAGGACTTGGAGTGAAGGAATATGTTTAACCTTACCTAGGATCAACTCAAAAAAACATGTACATGGATGAAAAAGTAAAAATTACAAAAGGGTATTATAGTAATAGTAGTGTGAGTGGGTCCAAATAGGAGACAACAAGAATCGTAATGAGAAGAAAAGATGAGTTGTAGGCACGAGCCCTGACCCAGATCCTCGCAGGCCCTGCTTGCACCATGGGCTCACCATTTTTCTAACCTTAGGTCTCACACACCTGCTCCATTCTCTCCTCTACCCTTCACGCATGCATATATATTAACCTAACTCAATACTTCCAACACTTTCTAATCATTAATTCTTTCATTTTTTTTACAAATATCATCAATATTTAGTAATTGTACCTCATTTTAAGAATGAGTTATAATTTAATTTAATTTTAAAAAACTAATTTGTAAAAGAAAAATTGTCCTTATTTATGTATAATATTTTAATCATATCAGAAATCTCCAACACATTATTTTCATGTTAGGTATAAAAAATTTTGGAATCAAATTTATAAGACATCTATGAGTGATCTCATATTGACTTAATAGCAAATGACACAACAATCTCAATAATAATTGTTAAAATATACTTTCAGTCTTAGTATGTTATTAGTATTATACTATATAATCGTGGGAGTACTTTATATATATATATATATATTACTTAATCTTAGATTGTCATATATAATAAGATTATTGAATTTTTTAATAATTATTTTAAAAATTATGGATCTATTTAAATAAATTTATCCGTAAGTACTTTAAAAAAAAATAAAATAAATTTATTTGAAAACTAAAATTTTTATACCTAAATTAATTTGAACTTTTTTTGCATATTAATTTTTCCAAAATATTTTTTTAACTTATACGTATTTAAATTAATTTTAGTTTATAAAAAAATAATATTTTTTTCTCTTAAAAGTGTTTATAAAAAGAATTGTCTTACAGACACTATATTGAAAATGATTTTTAATTAATCATAAAGTAAAAAAAAAATTACAACTTAGAGCAAACCGACAATCATTTAAATTTTAAAAAAAGAAATTGAGTGATTGAGTATTTTCTCTCCATGCTGCATGGTTTCAGACATCTTTTTCTTGCCTAGAAATGAAAGTGCGTGTAATTAATGAAATGGTGCGTAAAGTCTATTGACATAATTATAGAATGACAATTCATCATTGACCCTAAAGAAAGTGAAAGAACGACTTCATGGTTCATAGCATCTTAATCAAATTGTTATTGGCTGTTGATATCATATAACTATAAAATGACGGTAACGTCCTCATTATCCCTAAGACAAAAGTCAAAGAATGATTCCGTAGCATCTTATTCCATCATTAAACAACGATACATTATCATTTTTTTCTATAATATTTCATGAAATTTTATAAACTATTGCATTCTTTCTTGTTTTCTTTTCACATGGAAATAAAGGTTCAAATTTAATTGAAACAAGGATATTATAATATAAGAATATAAACTTCATAATCCTTCCAAATTTAGTTCTTTCTACAAAAACTTATGGATGATATCCTTGAATGTAAACAGCATCTCATTTCATTGTTGAATATCTAAATATCGATGTGAAAACTTTGTTCTATTTAAAAAACTATGTACTGCACAATTAGAATTATATATTATTTATTAAATTAAATTAAATGTAGGAATTGGGACGTACATAACTATATATAATCCAAAAGCTTTTATCCCCCTCGCAGACCCTTTTCAAATTCATTGTCCATTACTTCGCGCATTTTGAATAACACCTTTTAAAAATAAACTCCCTAATCAAACTTGAACAACATTTTTGTATTTGTTAAAATAATTGTGGGTCAAAATATCTTAGAAAAATTCAAATTTTACGTTAACTAGATATATGACAAATAAAAATTTATAAATAAGTAGATAATTTTTATTTTATAAGTTTATTTTGTAATATTGAATTAGACCTTAATTTATTTTTTAATATAGTACCAAAATTATCATAAATTTATTTTAAAAGAGTCATTTATCATTGATACACAAACTAAGTCTAATAGTGTTGATCATGTTGGACATGAAGAGGTATATTAAAAAAAATCTAAATCTCCCCTATATCTTATATCATTAAAAAAGGTCACCCACTATTTATCTATGTATCAAACTCAATAGTATTGGATGTGAAGAATGTATTTGGAAAAACTCAAGTTTTATATTGATTAAAGATAAGACAATTTAAGAGTATATAAGTGAGGGGACAATTAGATGTCAAAAAAATGCATACCCACAAGTATCCATGGATAAAATTTATAACAAGTAGAAAATATATATTGTAAATGGGTACCTCCATGTAACGAGTACAGATTTTTTTTACCCACATGCTCACGGAGAGGGAACGGATATCGTAGTATTCGTATTTGTGAATACCAATACCCACTAATATTTAATTTATTTCAACTTGTATAAATTTGATTTTATTTGGATTTTGTTTGGAATCATAATAGTTAAGAATTGCACTTTATTATCTTTTATTTTGATTTATGTGTAATCATAATATTTTATTTTAACAAATATTCACTAGTGAAAAATCAGTCTTTTATGTCATCTCTTTGTCGTCGGACATATAAAAAATATTCACTAGTGTGCTGGTGGTTAATGAAGCCCTAGATGAAGCAAAAAGAAAAAAGAAGGAAACCATCTTTTTCAAGGTAGACTTTGAAAAGGCATACGACTCAGCAAACTGGAACTACCTTTTATATATGCTAAATCGACTTGGGTTTCACAAGAGGTGGGTAAGCTGGATTGAAGAATGTTTGTTGACATCACGTGTTTCTGTGCTTGTTAACGGTAGTCCTACAGAAGAGTTTGAGATGCATAGAGGGTTAAGACAAGGTGACCCACTTGCACCGTTCCTTTATATTGTGGTTGCAGAAGGTTTGACAGGTATGATGAGAGAGGCTACAAAAAAGAAGCTTTTTAATGGAGTGAAGGTAGGCAAGGATCAAGTAGACATCACTTTAGTACAATATGCAGATGATACTATCTTCCTTGGCACGGCCAGCATAAACAACATAATGGTTATCAAAAGCATGCTCAGGTGCTTTGAGGTGGTGTCGGGGCTTAAAGTTAACTTCCATAAGAGTAGATTCGGAGCAGTGGGCGTGAAGAGGAACCTTGTTGAGAGCTATGCCCATCTCCTTAATTGTAAACTAATTCAGATTCCGTTCATTTATCTGGGTATGCCAATCGGTGCAAACCCAAGAAAAGAAACTATGTGGCAGCCTATCGTACTGAAGGCTAGGAAGAAGCTATCGACATGGTCAAGTAAAACTCTATCAATGGCTGGGAGGGCATGCCTTATCAACTCTGTTCTTACTTCCCTACCTTTGTTCTACCTATCATTCTACAAGATTCCTAAGAAGGTAGAGAGAAAGTTAAAAAGCATACAAAGAAGATTTTTATGGGGCTGCAAGGAGGGAGAACAAAAGATCTCATGGATAAGCTGGGATAAACTCACCCAACCTAAGGAATATGGAGGCCTCGGGATAAAAAACATTACCATGTTTAATGAAGCCCTTCTAGCAAAGTGGAGGTGGAATCTCTTTCACTATCCAAATACCTTGTGGAGCAGGGTGGTAAGATCTAAATATGGTGGTTGTGCTAATTTGTGTTCTGAAGCGACCACCAATAGTGACTACATTTGGTGGCGCGACCTCCTTAAGGTGTGCGGGAGTGGGAGTGAAGACCGGTGGTTTGATAGATTGATAAAATGGAAGATTGGAGACGGCACAAAGGTGAGGTTTTGGCTAGATAATTGGGTTGGGGATGAGTGTCTAGCGAATACTTATCCTAG